TTTATTTATACAAATATTATCCTGCAATAATTCATAAAATTCATGAAATACTCTAGAAATTAGAACTATTACGGAAAACTGCCTATAATAAGATAGTTGTTTTGGACATGACAGAATAGTTTCCCGTATAATACTCACTGTTTAGGATTGTGCATATCTTGAGAGCACTGAAATTTCTTTTGTTTCGTTGTCCCAAATAACTAAAATTCTGTGCAATATTGTCGCTCATTATTTTTTTAAAAATATTGTGGATTATATTAGACAAGTTCACTCCACCCACTTGCTTTAGTGTATTCACCTATGAGACAAAAATTACTTTATATTATTTAACAATATTACAAAATATTGTCAGCTAAATTTTCATATATATTGTTAGTATATAAAGCAAATAAGATTTTATGGATATATAAATAATGGTATACTGCAGTATACACTATACATTATGTATTTACCAGTTTGTTTGCAAATGATTTATCTTTTAACAATTCTTCTAATCGTAGTAGCGCCACCATAGTTTGCAGTGGCAGCTCATATTCTTCATATTGTATAACATCGGCTACTTCCTGATTAATCTGCCGCATAGTGCCTGACGTTTCCAATAAGACCATTCTGTTTTCTAAAACAGTTATTTTATTAAGTAATAACTGTAATTTTCTTATAACTTCTTTTCGAAATTCTGTAACAATAAATTATAAAGTGAAGATATGTAATAAATATATATATATTGCTGTAAAACATATTATAAGTAGTGCAAGGTGCTTTCTTTTATCGTAAACCTCTTACAATTATATAATATTATAATTAATTTTTAAAAGTCACAAACCATTTTCTGCATCTTCTGTTACGATGTTGGTGGTAGACTTATTTATGTACTTCTTTTCAGTCATTGAATTTTGCAAATAGTCATTTTCATCTGATGAACTGATATAAGATTCTGTGTCTTTACTTGTTGTCCCTCCTTTATACAAACTTTTAGTACGTTTAGCAGGATTTATTTGGCATTGAGATTTTGATCTCTCTGATGATGATGGTGGAATCTTTTGACTTTCAGTAATAGTTGTGCTCTTTGTCATGTTTAATTTTTTAGGAATTTCCGGAAATTTCTTTAGTTTTTTACTTCCGTCACAGTCGAATTCAGATTCCTCCGACGAAGAATAATTTCTTTTAGCTCGCATATGTCTTGATTTTTTTTCTTTTTCACATTTTCCGCTCTCATCTTCTGTGCCTCCTTCAGTAAAATCTGATAATTGTTCAGCTAGAAGTAGTTTTTCTTTTGCTGTTTCGTATGAATCTGAATATATATAGACATATCATTAAAAGAATATCACAGAAGACAAATACATATATTTATAAATAATAAATATAATAATCGAGTTTTTATGCAATAAATCTTACTTGTTCTATAGAAGATCCTTACTACGTCATATATTTTTCAACTCATGTTGTCTTCAGGAGGCTGTTGTGACGCCACATACTTTTTTAGTTTTATTTGATCTCGAAATGTGGGATAATAGCATTTTGTTTCAGCTTCGTTCAACCAAAGTGAAGGCACTATTGCCACACCATCGTTAAATTCTATAATACGCCCGTGTCTTCGCCCGCGTCGTTCGATGTACCAGCGAGCCGGTCCAGCTGTCAGATGTTTCCCTGACGACGCGTTGTCGTCTGTCAAACGGACGACATATCAGATTTGGAGACGAGCCGTCGACTCGTTCGGACGTGCTGAGCTCTGTTCTGTCTATTCGCTGCGTTGTTTGTTCACAGTCATTAGAATAAAGCGTGTTCCTTGTTCTTTTTAATTTCTAATATACTCGATAATTCTTTGAAAATCTTCGATTCAAAATTTCTTCCTTGGTCTGTATGGATTTCTAGGGGGACTCCATGTCTGGAAACAACTTGACTCAAGAAAGTTTCCGAAATAGTCTTCGCTTTAATATTTTTCAATGGAAAAGCCTCAAC